CACTTCTCTTTGTCCTGGCCATATAACCCTTAGCCCACCTAATCTGTGATAACCCTAACATTCATGGCATCACAAAAGGCCCACGGACTTCAAACTTCACATGTTCGCAGATGACCTATTGCTTTCTCTTTCCCAACCCATTATCTCCCTCCCTAACTTATTTTCACTTCTCAAATCCTTTGCCCATGTATCAAACTTGAAGGTCAATGAGGATAAATCTTTTTCACTTAATATCACATTGCCACCTCATCAAGTCCATAGTCCCAAATGGCAAGCCTCCCACTAAAATATCTTGGTGTCAATATCTCCAGTATCTACGCTTCCTTATATGCTGTCAATTACCCTCCTAACTTTAGACATCTTCAGGACCTTTTGTCCTTCTGGACGAGACACACTTTTTTCCTGTATGGGCAAAATCAATGCAGTAAAAATTACTATCCTCCCTAAACTATTGTACTTTTTCCACACCTTACCCATACCCATCCCTCGCCATGCTCTCAAACTGTTTCAAACTCAGGTTGTGTTCTTTGTCTGAAGTGATTCACCTTATATGCCCATAAACGTGATGGAGGCCTTGGTCTTTTTCACCTTTAGAAATTTTATCAAGCGGCACACATTACCTCTTTGGTGAATCTTTTACAGTCCCCTTGTTGCCGATTATGGGGGGATCTGCAAGCACTGTCATGCACACCACACTCCCTGTGCTCTTTACCCTGTCTGCCCTCCCGGCTCCGCCCGCCCTCAATGAGCTCCCTATTAACCCACACCCTTAATCCATGCTCCAGTAACTTTTAGTCCCCACATTTACCATTGCTTACCATACTGGGTAATCCACTCTTCCCCCCGGGCCTTGATTCCCCCTTTCATTTACATGGTGGTCCTCAAAAGGTCTGACTTCCCTTTGCGATCTGCTGGAGAATGGTTTGGTCCGCCAGTGGGATTACTTTAGAGACAGGATGCGAGCCCCACCATCTGAATACTTTCGGTATTTACAGCTCAGACACTGTGCCGTTTCATCTCTCCCACGGTCCTCACCCCGAGCGGGCCTCACCATGTTCAAGCAAATCTGCAAATGTAACCACTATATTGTCACCTGTCATCTCCTTCCAAACACACTTATGTCACCAAATGGGAACAGGACCTTGGAACTTCGCAACCACCAGAAATTTGGCAACAAATCTGGACCTACATGGCCACCTGTACTATCAATGTGTCCTCACTTGAAACAGCTTTTAAATCCCTCACGAGGTGGTACTTGGTACCGTCCACAATGGCTCACCTCCATCCATCCACTCGTGCTCCTGTTAGCGGGGTTGCCTATCCCAGGGTGATGTACTCCACACGTGGTGGACCTGCACCTTGCTTGCCAGATTTTGGTCCAAAGTTTTTCACCTGATGGAACGGGCTGTTTTCGCTGACACTCCGTAAGGATCCGTGGCTGGCCTTACTACATCTCAAGTCCCCACTTCTCACTAAAAACCAACACTGCTTAGCCACGCAAAGTCTGCTGGACGCTAAACGAGCTATTGCCCTCGCCTGGAATAAACAAAATTGTGTATCATTCAGCGAAGTCGAACGGCGGATATACTTCTTTTGTCTGAATGAAAAACTGACCAGCATCCTTTTGGATACTTATAAAAACTTTATGGAACTCTGGCAACCATGGATTGACTATGCCCACCCCTCTATATTCTCAGATAGTCTATCATCCTTATAGATCTTTTAACCTAATACTTGATGACTTAAAAAGATTCCAGTGCCACTCTCTATACTTTTCTTCTCTTTGCTCCCACCCCATCCCCTTTTTTTTATTTGTTTTTCGGGCTTTTGTACACTTTGACTTCTCTTATCTGTACTTTACCTCTTTACATTCTGCTCTTCTTTGCTTTCTTCAGACATTCAACGATTACCTCTAGATATACTATAATCCTTGATGTAATTCACTTTTTATGTCTCATCTTTGATTGTACAATATGTTATTTTCCATCAGGTATTGTATGAGATGTACCGTTAAAATTTAATAAAAACTCTAGCAAATATTAGGGGTGAGAATGCACATCTTTTCTGTTGCCCAAAAAGTTTTATTGTATTCTGACATCATTTATATTGACTTTTAAATGGATTTCTATCATTTCAATACATTGGCTGTTTAATAGGAGTTTCTGTGCTGCAGATTTATCTTGAAGATTGACACTTTTGCTGCTAATGTATATTGACAGCAGTAACACTGCATGAGAAAGCTAAATTATTTGCTTTTCTGCTCACAGGGGATAAGAAACAGGTTCTATTGTGCTGTGAGGAACCTGGCAGGCAGTTCCCTCAGCAAAATTATATTTTGACATGAAGAAAATATAAAGAAAATTGCTTCTTGTCTATATTTAACATTAAATTAATTAGGAGCATTACATTGTATGATAAATGATAATAAAATAATGCTGTATATCAGATATTGCTGCATTTAGCTTTTTACATTTTAGAAGACAAGATGCATACTTTCCTCTTTTTCTCTGCACTTAAAATTACACAACACAGTTTATGCCAGTTTAAAAACTCAACAATTCACACAGGCTAAATATATTTTGCAATAATATTTACTGATCTATAATAATATTTCATAAGTTCATGAAATTAGATACTATGGTGTTTTAAAACTATCCCAATTTATGTTTTTTTTGGCCAGAGAAGATGTTGCTTCCTACACTTTTTTTCTTATATATAGGCCGCTGTCTTACATTTTTTCTGCTAATTTTTACTGACTTTGTACTAGTGTAAAACAACCTAAAAAGTAACCTGAATATAAAAAATGTTTGCAGAAAAAGTAAACCACCCATAAAATGCATAATCAATTTTTTCAGTGAGGTGGAGTTAGAAAAGGACAGTTACTCTATGTGGAATATTTCATTTTACTGTTTCCTTTTTTTATGTACATTTGTTTACTTTTCACCATTTGTCCTTCACATCAACATCACAACTTCCTATTTCAAACATTTAGAGAATATGCAGCAGTGAAATAGGTCACGCAGCTTTTTTGCCTATCCGTTTTGACAGTCTCCAAAGTCTGCAATAGGCTTGCAATTGTGTTTGGGGTTTGCGTTTGGGTGCCATTCAAATGAATGGCAATGCAATGAACCTCTTGCACTATTAACACATGGTAAGTGCCTTGTGTGGTATGGTGCATTAATCGTGTGGAACCACACTAGTGTAAATGAGCCCTTAGTGTGCCCTATTGTTCCAGCATTTAATGTAGCAATGACCCCCAAAAAGGCTGTATGGCAGCAGCAAGATTTTCACAAAAATAAGCCAGTTCAACACACATCCATCTAACATCCAACAGATGTCCTTCTGGACAGTCTGCTCTCGAAAGGCTGCTTCTTCAGGCTGGATGGAGGTGGATAGGAGGTAGGCCATGCTGTCCTGGCTAAATGATGGTGGGTAGAAGGTAGGCCCCACTGTCTCTGGCTGCCACTCTCTCTGGTGGTCTCTATACTACTGGCACAACTCTGAGGGGGGTTAGTAGATAGGTAGCCCACAATGCCATGGGCCCCCATCTAGCCTGCACCCTCTTCCCTGGTGGCCTTGTTGGTCCCCACACTCTGCTGCCTTTACTCTCCTCCTCCTTGCTCTTGGTATCTCCCAGGTTACCCCTCCACAATGCTCCCCTGTTCCCAGCTCTCTTTCCTGACTCACAGTCCCTCTCTGTGGGGCTCCTGGCAGCTCTCTATCCACAGCCTGTCATGTGTCACACGTGTACCCCTTAATGCACTGGGGCCAAAGTCCAGCCATAGATGTGCCAACCAGAATCTTCCTCTCTTCCACCCATGGTGAAGGGAGAGAGGCAAACTATGATGTGGTGGTGAAGATGCCTGGGCTGTGGGCCCACAACATTTTGCTATAGTCAATCTATGGATTTTTGAATGTGTCCTGGACTTATCACAGAATTCAGGACTACTGGAAATCAGACACAGAATTTTAGACAGAAATGACCTTAGTTGGTTTTCCTTTCACTTTTGTCTAGTGAGGATGGTTGAACCCTTAACTTTCTCTACAACTTTCTCAGCAGTTTGCACCTTGTTTGGTCTTCTCCATAATAATGCTCACAAATCCATATATATTCAATAAAAAAATCTGAGCCTCCTACATTGGAATTTAGGAAAAGCCTGGTGGATTCCATACTGTGTTTTTATAAAGCCATGAAAGTTTGGGATGTCAATAGAAATTACAAAAAGCATTGACAATGTGGCTAAATGACCTTCAGACTTCTAAGAATCTCTAAGTACTATACCTATTTTCTCAGAAACTGTATAGTCTATGTTTCTGCTCAAAGCAGGGTTTTTAAAGTGGTGCATCAATCTTCCTCTATTGGATAACTAAAATCCTAATCTGATTATATCTCAATCCCTGGTCTCCTGAACCCCCTCTACCCCACCCCTACCCCACCTCTTTTCCCCATTTCCCTCCCTGGGGATTTTTTCCCCACTAGTTTCAACCAGTTCTTATGCATAGCCCTAAATGCAAAATGTTAATCTCTGTACTGTGATTAGATTGTTGCCTATTGCATCCAGCAGAGGAAGCTTAGGTACCCCATATTTATTTTGTCTCTATAACTTCAATAAAAAATTAAAGAAAAAAACATTATTCTCTTCACTATTGAACTTGAATCAAATTGGAGAAATCAACTTGATAGGTGAGATGTCAGTGAATAATGTTGTCAGTCACTGTACGTCAGTTCAATGATTTGACATAGAAAACTGCATTGCTAAACCAGAAAATTGTGCAAGAGTGGAAATGATTATCCTTTATAGTCCTGACTGTCCAGGATGGTAAAAGAATTTTGCAATATTGGCTTTTCAGAATCTTAAAGTATTTGGAAGTGAAAACAATAAAAAAAGTGTATCTATGAAAACTGTGTTTTCAACTATTTAATAAAAAAGTATGTATATTCACTATTCTTGTGTTTTGTTATAAAATCTTAAAATTGGATCCTTTTGCTTGTTTGATAGACTCTGTGCAGGACTGTCCTCGGAATTGTGATGGGAATGGTGAATGTGTGTCTGGCATTTGTCACTGCTTTCCGGGATTTCACGGTGCAGATTGTGCAAAAGGTACTGTTAATGTTGCAAATATTGACCAGAAAATAATTAATTCATTATTAATTCATATATTTATTACTATGAGAAGCCAGTGCTGTTTTTAATTTTAATTAATTTAGTTTTAGTCATTTTAATTGTGCCATCCCAGGTTCCAGCATTTCTTGCATTTGAGCGGTCTATGCATCATAACATTTTTAGACTATTCATACTAACAATATTCAGAAAAACTCCTAAAGTAAAAGCACTGACTAGCTGTCAACCCTTCTATCAGCCATAGTAGCAACTGAGCTGTCACAAAGAAGTAAATGTCCTTATTGCTTTGTATTCAGTATACTGTACTGTTTTTGATGTGACCTGTCTGGAATGAATATATCACATATGCAATGCTGTAAGTCCTATTCTTTTTTCATTAATTTGGATACTCGCGCTGTACCCTTAAAACCAATTAGGAGATGTTCAGGCAATAGGGATTTATCTTAATCTTTAAATTAATATTTAAAAGAAAATATACTTGTGGCACCCTTGTGCCAAAGTGGAAATCATTATCCTTTGTTCTCTTCTGAAGATATTTTCAATTTTTAACATTTAAACCTGCACTGCTGATTTGAGAATGAAGTGTAATTTATATAAAATGAGTCTGCTCTGCAGAACCATTCACTCTTTAGCTTTGTGATTAATCACAGTTTGGTGGTGTAAGAAAGTTTAAGTCTTAACTGTTTATGCTGTAGATATTTAAAAAAGCAGATAACTTTTTCATATTTTTTTTGATTGCAGCTGAACACTTTACATTATGTATTATTTCCTACTGCCAAAAACAGATATAACTAGCAGTAATGTTCAATTTAATAAATACTTGGACATGGTAAGGTAACACTTGGTTCTATAGATCCTATGTTATACTCAAACAACTGAGCCCCAATACAAAATCTTAATTTGTGGCAATTTTAGCTCACAAACTTCTATATTTAACCTATATACAGTATAAACTGTATAGCTACTACAGAGAAGGCCCACATAGGCGTATCTATGTATCATGCATTAAACCAAAAATGCTGAAAAAGCAAACCACATCATATATATCATTTTCAATAAAAAACATTTATTAAGCTCATTCTATAGCCTATAAACCAGTTAAATAGCTAGCATACAAATATGCATGTACAATATGTATCAAAGTATTGACATTAATAAATCAAATTCATGTCAAAGTGATCTGAATTATTTACTTTTCATACATTGCACATGACTTTCTGATGTTACTAGCATGACCAATGATGAGGAAGTACAAAATGTTTTCAGCGATCTTCATAGTAATTATTTGGCTGCTCAGCATTTTTTTCTGATTGGGATATCCCTCAGACTTAGCAGAAGATGACTCATCCAGCAGTCTTTCCTAGAGCCATCAGGTATCAGTTAGTCATCTTTTACAAGGGATGTCACTTCTTCATATGGTCCTTGAAACAATTAAAGGGTATTTCTCAATTTGTGAATTGCTTACTTTTACTGCTGAGATTCTTCTTGATCTCACTTATAGAAGCAATAGCATATAACAAAAATCTCACCACAGGTTTAGAACTGTTAAGATACAAGTGCTTGCTAAATGCACCACAGAGGACACTACTCAGGCACTGCTGATGAACTGATTAACTATGAAAATGAATATGAAAAATTTAGAATATAAACATTGATGGTGTACATGTATGTTCATACTTATGCAACTAGTTTAGTTAACCACTCCATGAATAGGCATTGTCAAATGACTATAGTAAAGAGGACCTGACATTTATGTATAATAAGACCCACATTTATAGTGTAGAGCAGATATGGCTATTAACAGCTCCTGCATTTAGGAGTTTTTCATAAAATGCAGGCAGTGGTGTGAAGCCTATGGTGTCTCACAGAATGCTCTCAGTTTAACATTGCTGAGAGAACTTGGTAACTGGAGAAAAGAGCATTCCTATGACTTTACGTGACTGGGCTCTCCTCTTCCCTTTTTTTTTTCATTGGCTTAAATGACGCTCCATTTTCATGAAGCAAGTAGAGCATAATTCCCATTTGGAAAGCACAAAGCTGTGCTGTATAAATATGCATTTCTGTTTTTTTATTGTAGACTGGGGCCCCATATATAAGTATTTTATTGTACAGTGGCAGAATAGTGCTTTTTTGTACACTAGGGCCCCATATATACGTTTTTTTTATTGTACAGTGGCAGAATCGCACTTTAAAAAACTGCAATGCACAGCCTGAAAGGAAATTAGATGCAGACTGAAAACTTCCTTCATGTAATTGTTCTCTGTCCTTTTCACCTCTACAAAATAATGCTGATCTTGGGTATTTAGCTACATTAATATTACAATGATTTCACATTATTAGCACATTTGTAAAAGAGACTTTACAGATTACTCTGTGTGTCAAGTCAGCTTTATTGCAGAGACATATATGTAAAACAACCCTTACTTCAGTGAATAAATTCTAGTGTCCTTCAAGTGCAGAAGAGTCCCCAGTGTAAAAGCACTGAGCAGGAACAAATTATATTTATGTACTGTTCATCACACCATGAGGCATCCTTGAGTGCTTTGAAATGAGAGAACAACACAGTTTAAACATTTCCATAATGATATACTTTAAAGGATACGCTTTGTGTCTCAGGAAGCATTTGATTGATATATCCCCTTTTGTGGAGACAGTGTTTATAACTGATAACAATTACACTGCTTCTCTCTGCAGTAGGTTGCTGTGTTTTGTGTATGTCATACTATCATTTAAAATAAGAAGGGTTATACACAGAACCATATTTTCATACAGTTCTAATTAATTCTGAAGTTCACTTTTCTGGGTTTTGGGTGCTGCATTAAATCAATTTACAGTCTTTGAGGGTTTGCAACTTAGTGATGCTAGTGTGGTCACTTAATGATCAGAAGAAAATTGACTCCTTTTTCTATATGAATAACTAGCATTAAATATCGTGCCTGGGGGGTCCCCGTAAAGTGGTGCATCTGTACAATGTATGGAACCTGCTGCAGCAAAACTGACATTTGTAAAGAAAAAAATGACTTTTTCTTTTTTTTTTAAAGCGTGCGATTCCCCCTCCCAAACAATACCAGACCCATTAGGTCTGGTGTGAATGTTTGGAGAGACTCCATTAAAAAAAAGTGTGGGGTTCCCCCCAAAAGTCATATCAGACCCTTAAAGTCTGGTAGGATTTTTTTCAGGAAACAAACAAGTAAAAAAGTGTGTGGGATTCCCCCTTAGGGTTCCCTCCCCCCAAAATGAAGGGAAAAATCATGGGGTCCCCCCTAAAATTCCCAACCAGACCCTTGACCAAGCACAGGTCTGGCAGGGCAGCAAAGGAGGGGGGACAAGCGAGCACCCCCCGCACGATACCGGGTCACATACCCTCGGGCACTGGGAGGGTGCTTTTCCAGGGTCACCCCTGGAAAAGCACCTTGTCCACATGACGATGGGGACAAGAGCCTCTTCCCCACAAGCCCTGGGGCGTTGGTTGTGAGGTTGCAGGCAGGGGGGCTTATTCACTTTAGGGTACACCTTTAATAAAGGGGCACCCAGATGCGCCCCCCCCCCTTGTGAATGAGTAAGGGGTACTTGTACTCCTACCCATTCAGGAAAGGGTTACATAAAAGATTAAATAAAAACACCAGACTTTAGTCAAAAATCCTTTTTTTGAAAAAACACAACAAAGGATTTTTGTCCTTTATTTAAAAATATTTTAAACAATTGAAAATTGATCCATCGACTTAATCCAGTGTCAATCACGACATCCAGCGCTGTCCACGACGACAACAACTCAAATAAATAAAAAATAAAACAATCAAAAATAAATAGAAATATTTTTTTTTATACGATGACCGCTGTGCCGTCTGCTGCGATGAACACCCGTGGCAGAATGGCATTTTGACAGATAATGGCAACTTATAAACAATTGGGCGGAGCTAGAAAAGATAACAAATCTTAGAAAATAGGTTGCCCGGTCCCATCACCCCCATAGATACTGAAAATAGGTGTGCACAAAAAGCCACGTCTCCCTTCCTCTGAATCCACTGGACACTCAGATGCCATGAAAACTAGAAAAGTTAATTTCAGGGTGTTGATGTATTGTCCAGGGTTCCCAAATATGCAAAACTAAAGCTTGTTTATCAACCAAAATGTTCGTTAATCACTCCTTTAACATAATGTTGTCCGTTCTATGAACAAACTCCAAGTAAGGGATTTGCTGTTTTTTCCAGTTGCTTGCTAGAGTCAGTTTAGCAGTTAGGAAAATAATATCAGATAATGCATGTTGTGCTCTAGATAATCCATCTATATTCAAATTAAATAGTGTGTTGTTGAGATTCCTTACAATATGTTTACTACTGTAAATAGCTTCCTGAGAAGCCTATACATTTTTGAGCAAAATACGGTGGCAAATGGTTACTTCCACCAAATATGTAACATATCTCCCAACTCATTACAACCAGGAAAACATTTACTTGATAAGGTAGGATTCGAGTGAGCGATACGGACTGGAACCATGTACCACCTCATGACCACTTTGTAAGCTACTTCTGCATTAGTAACATTTAGAGAACAGCTTGCCATGTTCCTCCATACCTGCTTCCAGTCCTCCTCCGTCCACACTTGACCAAAATCCCGTTCCCACTTATCAACATAGCTATGCATATTGGGACTAGGTAATTTATTTCATTGATAATACAGAAGAGAAATTAATCTGGGACCCTCTGGATTATTTAAACAAACATGTTCAAAACTAGTCAATGGACATAGTGGATGCCTCCTTTTAGCCAAGGTAGAAATCCAATGTTGAGGCTGGAGGTACTGAAACATCTCAACTTCTGATGGTCATTTATTTTCCTTAATGGTCGCCAAGTGAGTACATTGGAGGAATGCAGGAAGTCATAAACTATATGGAACCCATTATCCATCCACTAGCGAAAATTGGAAGCAGTAGCATAACCAGGCTTGAATAGCGGTTGAGCAAATAAGGGGAGGAGTGT